CGTAAATGGTATCCATCACTAAACGTCCAATATCTCAAAAAAGTAAAATAAAAACATTGTAAAAACCGCTGAACTCGGTTTAAACTGGCTGGCCTGGAAATAGAACAATGGAGAAGAAATCCGTATAACACTCGCTGAATATATCATGGGAAGCTCACTAGCATACTTTAACGTAAATGATCCCATCACTGAACTTCCCGGTATTCTATATTCAATGAAAATTTTAGGGGTTTATGAGCTTCCATGGAGTTGTTCATGTTTGGGTCGAACTCAGGCTAATGTACAAAACTTTTCTTGTGTTCCGTTAAAATTTCGGTACTTGTACTGATCTTCTTAACCATCGGAGAATAAGCTCGAGATCAGTCGATTCCGTTGAAGACAAGGACAGTGACAACTTTGTTCTGTCTCTAATAACATGTTGTAATATTTTTTATGACTAGAATGAACCAACCGAAACGTACATAGTATATATGTCGATGGATGGTTGCACTTGTAACAATTTCCTTAGATTAACAAATCAAAAACACAAGAACAACAGAGATCTCATATGTATATTTGCTCAAAACATTAAATAGCTTACCTAAAAGAAAATATTAATATCAACACAATGGCTTTGTGGCCTTAATCACAACAAGAGCTCGTAATGTAGCAAAGAGAGAGCGAGACAAAAAAAAAAACGAATTTCTTACCTTTATTCAATGGCTTCATGGCGTTAGTCACAGTAGGAGATGCTTCAACCTAAAAAATTCGAAAACAAAAATTTGTGAAGAAACCTTTAATTACAAAGGAACAAAAACAAAGGATCAAGACTAATTAAGAAGAAGAAGGACAAAGAGGAAAGTCATAATTAATGAGAAGAAGATTACTTTGGCGGTGGATTTCTTCTTGCCCATGGAGAATGATGAGAAGAAAAGAGGGGAGAGGCAAAAACCCTAGAGAATTGCTTAAAATTAAAATAAGTTGGTTGGGTTATAGCTGTAAATTAATTGCTGTACAATTTTGTCTGTAGACATTTTTGCTGTAGTTTAAGATTTTACCTGTAACTTTTTAAAGTTAAAATATGATTGGTAAATATTATATGTACTAGATTTTGATCCGTCAAGCGTGAGATTAAATGATTAAATATATATTTTTAATTGATTT